GATTGAATCCATGAAAAATCTTGTGCGGATTTTTTGTGTCTGCACAGCAGTCAGTAATTTGGTTATAACTTTCTTTTTCGATATTCAATTTAGACGATTCAAAATACCTTAAAAAGATCACTTAAAGAGCTACTACTTTGTTAGAAATAGATCTTTTCCAATTCGGACTTCTACTATGCCAAAAATGGGTCTCAATGTTAGGCTAAAAATCTGGAATATATCTTGTGCGAATTGAAAATTGATTTTGATAATATTCTATTCATTTTTGACTTCTAATTGCTTCCAATCGACCCTTAGTACTCTCTAACCTTCATCGTGAGCCTCGACATAATTTTTAAGTATTTGCACTTTAGTCCTCGAATTTTTACTTTCTTCCATTCTGGTCATTTTTCACTTGTTTCTCCTTATTTCCGCTACATTCATCATTTGTCTGCAAAACATGAATTACATTGAATTAAGCTATATTTCAACATATTAATCAACAATTGCTCATGTTTTGACAGCAAAATAAGTATGTAAAAACGTATTTATCAGTTCCCCTAATAATGAGAAGAAATTTGGTTGATTTAAGTTATAAATGATGGAAAATCATGCCGGGGGTAACGCAAGTTAGGTGAGTAATAAAACATATGATTTGGTTGAGTTGTTATTTTTTTGATCGCCGTAGCATGTCATGCAAATTTTTCGTCAACACACCAATAACGAGAGAAACGAAATCCGACGGATGATGAATGTAGCGCAAAATCTCAATAATAAGTGAAGTGACCATTAGAAAGTACTTTGAATTTTGATTAGTAAATAATGATCAAGTATAAGTTGGATTAGTAATGAAACATTTTACTCGTATATAAATGGTGCAAAGATAGCCTCTATTTGAGCTCCATTTCTTTTTTAAAAATCATTTTTGAAGTCAAAATACCGACAGATGATACAAAAACAAAATAATGAAATATCATGAAATCTCGCCAGCTCACAAATTAATTTGAATAAAACCCCCCAAATTGCCCAAATCAAACCCTTTCCCCTTCAACTTGCACCTCTCTATGATGATTTGTACAAACTAAAGAAATCTCGTCGGCACTTCACCTCCGACGAAGAGAAGATAGTCGACGGAGATCTAGCTCTCTACACTCTCCAGGTTAGTAGCTATTCACCTTCGTTTCGTGTGTGAAAGACACCGAGGGAGCTAATTCATTCCCCTGCCCCATCGCCAACTGTGAAATCACCACACCCATGACTGGCCACACATTATAATAAGGATACTGGAATCATTCATATCTCTGAAATGCTTTGGGCTTTACCTGCTATTATGAAAAATCAGTACGTATACTTGGTAAGATCCATTTCGAACAAAGTGGGTTTGGACAAATTACTTTGTTGAAGTTGAGGAATGCTTCATTTACTTAGTAGATTTTTTATGTTCACAGCACGCAAATTGCTTCTGGTAGTGTGGAATGGGTTTTATGTGGAAATTCATACTGCTTGAGTTTAGTTACTGAAGTTGTGGAATGCTTCATTTATGTGGTGTTCGGCCATCATACAAGTTTTTCCCATAGATTATTGACATAGTATTTTTTTTTCTCTCAGCACGCAAATCAGTTGGACTTGGAGATTTCACTCAACTTGACCATGCGCAAGGGGAAACGAGTTCCAGAAGATGAAATATGTCTATTTGGATGACCTCGACTTATTGTAATTATTTGGTTTTATGAACAAGACTTTTGAACGGTGTACTTCGCCTGGTTTCGTATCAATTTTAGGTGTTTGATAATGTCATGACCATTATGTACTGTGATTTTATGTGGACAGTTTTGATATCACTTTGTTATGTTTCAAGCTAAAAATCAACAACCAACACTGGGCATCATAATATGACAAAAGAATCAACAACCAATCAGGATCATAACATGACAAAAGTAATGCATTAAATCAGATTGCTCCAACAATTACGTAAACATAAAGTGTTTACATAGTAACCCACAAAATAACCGCCATATCAAACACTCCAGTTAGAATTAAGCTAAAATGTATAAATTAGATAATTCCTGTCAACTGTTTACAAAAATTTACAGCCGAATATTTCTGGATGCTTTAGACCCCTAAATCAAAATCACCCACTTAAGGCTTCAAATTTGCATTTGCACCACTTATTCGACGGCCCTCCCAACTACGTGTAAACGTTATATAACGTATGACCCCGTCATCACCTTTCCTCAAAGATCTTTTCCTTACCGGAAAATTCAAACACCTCATTTTCATCTTAAAACTTCATTTCAACACTAGCACAATAATATCAGTTCCTTCTCCTAAGCTCATATCAATCGGATTGTCGTCTTCGAATGAATGAATTCCCAAATAACCTGCATTTACGACAAAGGAACGATTAATTGAAGTCACGATCTATGGAGGATAAGGAAATGTTGATAGATGAGAAGACATAAACGTGGGTAACAACAAAAAAACTTGGGGCAACAGCAAACATTTGGTCTCTAAACAACTTCATGTTTTCCCTCTCAAATTAGCTGTACAAAATCCAAAAAAAATTGTAAGGGCTTTAACTGATTTCATCAATTAAATGCATCTACTTTGACATACCCGTCGAACATACTACATATTGCAGAAAATAATACTGGGCACAAAAAATGTCAACTCTTCCGGCCGTAAACTACCTATTTCCGTTTTCTATTAACTTCAGCAAAATGATGATTAAGTTGAAAACATCTTACCCATGTCGTCGTTGGCGTCGCAGTTGTCGGTGTGGGAGTTGCCGGCTTCGACTTCATCTTTGTCTCCATAATAGAATGTCTCAGCGTCGACCGCAAATGGGGGTAAGAATAAGGGGGTTCACTGACTTGTGGACGTCGTCGTCCAAGTCGCTGACGTCGTGGAATGGGTTTTCAGGTTCCTCCATTTCGCCGTCGCCAGACGTGCTCTGAGTAAAGGAATGGAAATGATTGAAGAGGTTGTCTTCGTTTAACAAAATGGCACCTTTTATTTCGTTTTTTTTTATTGGCAGGTGAGATATTGAAGTCAAACCTCATTCGCTACGTCATCGTGTGGTAAACCATTTTGTATACCAGGAAGTACATGTAGCACTACCCTTGTACATAATGTATTACGTGAAATTTATATGGAGTAATGCTACATGAACATCTTGGATCACACTTTAACTTATCGAACACACACACATGGGGGTGGGCATTATTTAGTTCACGCGGGACACGGTGCAATGTGAGGATCGATCAACCATGGTGCACCAAATTTTGACAAAGTGGCTTTACTCATTTATATATAGATGAAATATCAATGAAAGTGAAAAATATTTTTTTATTTCATCGAAGAAATTCAGAATTAATCATAATTCACCGTCTGATATATGTAAATTCATCGAGTAATGTTATTCATTCCCAGTGGGAGTGAAAACACAGTTTATGTGATTTTAAATAATAGGTTCAATGAAAGATGAAATTTCACCCGTCATTTACTGCCACGTTGACGCCATATTTGTATCCAGGATGAACAGCATTACTCTACCGTCATTTGTGATACGGAAGCGGGGCAACGGCCATAAGTGGTGGCGCGTGTTCAGTGTACAATCTTCAGCTCTTCTTCTGTATTTTTCTCCCCTGCTTGCTGCCCGACCCCCGCCGCCAACCTATCACACTGAAATTTCGCAAGCCAAAGAGTAAAGGTCTTTCCCTCTTCCTCTGTGCGTGAGTTTTTATCAAATTCTCCAACTGTAAACCATCATTTCGGGGTATTCAATACCAGGCTGAATTTTATTTTTTTTAATTAAGTATTCAAGTTTTCTTTCGTTCAAAATTTCAATCCATAAACATGCTATCTGATATTGGAAGAAGTTTCTTTATGCAGATCAATGTTGTATGCAATATCTTCACCGAAAATTTGTATTTCTACTGTATCTTATCCGAAAATTGGAACCCCATGTCTTCCTCGAGGGCAGTTGGCTTCAACTAGGCTTCGCGCATTGGCTTCATTACCAGAACCAAATGGGGATAAAATTGAGTACACTCCATGGCTGATTGTTGGCTTGGGGAATCCAGGAAATAAGTACCATGGAACCCGGCACAATGTGAGAGCTCGTACTCTCAGTTAGTTCAGTTTGTTTAATTTATTTGCATTTATGTTGTTTACTTGATTTGATTATTATTAGAGAATGTTTGAACTTTTTCTTGTTCCCCTTTGAAGGGTTATGAATCTGATTATTTGTTATTTACGGGTCTTTACAAAATTAGGTTGGGTTTGAAATGATTGACCGCATCTCTCAAGCAGAAGGCATTTTGATGAATACCATACAGTCAAAAGCATTGATTGGGATAGGTGCTTATTTTGCCTTTTTCCAAAAGTTTGCAATTCCCTTTACCTGAGTTCCATCCACTTTATTTTTAATAATTCATTTCGTCATCGTGACCTTTATTAAT